CCTTCCCCTAGCCCCACTCCCTTATCTTTTGTCTTGGACAAATTTTCTTACCACCCACACCCAACTATTTATTTCCTAGCGGGAATACCCGAGTGATCTCCACCGTCCACCAAAATTACCAAATCTTCCACTAGATAACGCCTTGACTGCGCTAGCTCTGTCTTAGACCAAAGCGTCTTTAAACGGGGTGCTCACTACGGACGGGATCGGTCGCCCGACACGATCGCCTAAAAAACAAACGTGTTTGTTTTTAGTTTCACACGATCGAGTCGGGCGATCGGCCTGATCCATCCGTAGTGGGCTCCATTACAGAGTCCTATCTGTTCAGTACCTATAGTGTGGTCAAAAATTCGTGGCGCAACTTATCCCCAAATAGCTCTTTAACGCGTGAATCAATGACCCTCCATACTTTGCACAACAGTTTGTATCCATTTGTCTCAACTTAATCATATTTTTTCACAATAATTGAGGCTAGGTTTTAAAACTTTCCTTCATAAAGTTATATAAAATACTACAGATCTCCTTCACGCGGAAAATGGAATTGTTTACAGCACTTCCCGCTTCTCGCACACATTTTGCGTACGCATATAGCTTACGTCACAGCTCACCAATGACACTTTTTAAAGTCAAAACTAGTTACAAGAAATTAATTTTATAGATAGTACTTTTTTGCACTAAAAGTTCTTAAAAAATGAGTTCAATAAAGATAACTCGCGAATAGAAAAAAATGACGGACTTGCTTTTAAAAGCGATATCGTCCCTGCTGTAAACCTTTTATAATCAGAAGAAACCACCCACTGTTATTTTTTATCAATATTTATTAAGGAATTTTATAGAATACAGCTAACATGTGTTTACAAAAATATTGATCTGTTAAGACAAACTGGTACAAGTCACTGTGCAAACGCTAGAGATTTTATGTTCGATTGTTGAGGAGATAGTTGACAATAAGTTGCGCCACGAATTTTTGACTGCATTATAGTTCTGAGAGATTTGATGTAAGAAGTGTTGAGTTTCACAGTAGGCTATGTCAAGCTTTTTTTTTTAATGCAGTTCTTTGAATATCTTGATAACGACTCCGAATAATCGTACGATTTTGATAGAGCAGAAAGTAATTTGGTTTCTGACCCCATGGTCTTAGTAACTCAAAACGGTCAAAATGTCAGAAAAGAACGTTGCAATTTTAAGGTACCAGTAGCCGTGGGTGGTTGACGGATGTTCTGTACCTTCTGTCCTATCAAGCATCTATCGTCCTTATATCTCCTCCTTTATTTCTTTTTTTTTTTTTGTGTTTGTTACTCTCCTGTAACGCCTCTGATTTTTGGCACTTATATGATATAATTGTGCTGCAACTGACGTAGAACTGTTACCAAAACAAAGAATTAGCCCCTCCCCCATGTTTTCCCTCAAACACGTATGTCGCCTGTCCATCTTTCCTTTTATCGACCTGAAAACTGTCTGTCTTTCGTAATACATATACTTTAATCATCAGTCTGTCTCTAGTCTATAATTTTCGGTGCGCATTCATGGTCTTCTGAATCAATTCTATTACCATGCCGTCAATCGTCATTCTAAAACAAAAACAATCCCCCCCCCCACCC